AGGTAACAAAAAGAAAGAAATTTGCTCAATATTTTAACAACAATGGGATGTCATTAGAGGGTCTTAGCCCTGGATATTCATATTTCAACATGAATTATTTTAACCTAACCCTTTCTCTTTTGAATTTTTTTAGATCAATTGAAATTCACCAGTGGTAAAACATTTGCCTAGTATGTGAGAGGCCCTGGGTTTAATCTGCAGCACAGAAAGAAAGGAAGGAAGGAAGGAGGGAAGGAAATATTAGGGGAAAATACTAGGAAAGAGGTCAGAATAGTTTTGGAAATGCAGAACCATTGCAGAAAACACACCTGGCTAGTGATTGTTTCTGACTTTCAAGAAGATAATGAACAAAAGGTACACAAATGACTGCAAGGTCAGGAATTTTGCCATATTAGTAATAGTGGTCCACTTCATGGTTTGAATACAACCCTTGCTGCTCTGCTACAGAGGTTTTTTTTAAAATGGATGTGTTTTTCCCTCTTCTCTCACTCCCAAATTAGCAAATGAATTTCAACTCCCCTCCCCCCTCCTATCGGGCACACCTAGAATGCAGCCTACAAATCACCTCTTTGTTCCCCCTGATGGGCAGAATCACAGCCTCTGAGTCAGGAGTCCCTTGTGTTTCTCCTTTGCTGGCAAAGCAATAAAACTTCTTTTTCCTTTTTCTCAAAACTTTGTCTTCATTATTGAATTGGTGTTGGGGACAAGGTTGGAGCTTATTGAACGTATTGAAGGTATCAAGTTCAGGGAAGAACAGTTAAGTTCCTTTATCTTTTATCTTTTCTTGTTTTTCTTCAGCTCAATGTGAAGACTTCGGTGAGGGGGTTGGTAGGACCATTTTTTTTGTGTGTATATATATGTATATATATTTATATTATATATGTATGTTATGGCTTATCCTTAATTACAGGCAATGTCAACATCAGCCACTCACCAGATAATGTCTGTTTTGTGTCCTAGAAATCAGCAGTATCATGTGTAGCTTTTAAATATCAAAACCAATCACTTCTTAAACATTCCAAATTTTTAAGATATTCACACTTTAAGGCAAAAGTTATCTTTTCCCGTCATTCTATAATTGTTTATATGTAATGTTAACATTAGCTATATGACTAGATTTAGCTAATTTTAAGTTTTTACTATAACAAAATTAGTTTGCAACATAAAGGCCTACCCTATTATAAAGAAACATTTAAATTGGGTTAAAAAATAAGAAATGTCCATATAAAGTTAATGAATCATTAATGCTTTTATTAAAATAATGATTACAATGAGAGTTCTAGAATCAGACTATTGTTTGCTTTTAAATTAACCTTTGTGCTCCTAAATCAATAAGTGCACTATTGGGCTTCCTTCCACCACTACCCTCATCTCCTGTAAGAATTCACGTAGATGTCCCTCCTAGAGCCCTTTTCTACACACCAATGAGAGTACATTGTTTTCATTTGAGAGTCAAGGTTAATATGCAAAATCATGGTAATACACATAAATGGTTATACACAAATATGAATATGGGGGCCAGGGTTGTGGCTCAGAGGTAGAGCACTTGCCTAGGATGCATGAGGCACTGGGTTCAATCCTCAGCACCACATAAATATAAATATGAAGATATTGTGTCCACTTGTAACTAAAAATTAAATTAAAAAAACATGAATATGGTTATTTCATGGTTATACACAAAATGAATATGACTAGAAGAAAATTAATGTTCTAAACATAAAGATTCAACAGTTTGAAAAGATAGTGGATCATTTCTTCAATAAGTATGTTACTCAGATCTGATTTTGCCTTTTGCCTGCTAAAAAAAAATTCAAATCCCACCACAGGCATTGTGGTGTATGCCTATAATCCCAGTGATTTGGAAGGATGAGGCAGGAGGATCACAAGTTTGAAGCCAGCCTCAACAATTTAGTGAAGCCTTAAAACTTAGTGAGACCCTGAGCTAGGGATGCAGCTCAGTGGCAAAGTGCCCCTGGGTTAAATCCCCAGTAACCACCCCCACCCTCACCCCAAAAAAAGTCAGATCCCTTTAGTCTTGTTCTTACTTGATTATCAATGACTTCTACTTAAAGGGTGGAGTATACACAGTATTTTTTTTTTTTTTGTATATGATAGTTTTAGGAGCTTTGGGAATTACTGCAAAATAATAGCAAGTGCCAAATTTACCCCCATTTGGCTTCTTCAATTTAATTAGAACCCCTTTCATGACCCCATTTCAGTATTCTGAAGTTCAAGATTTTTTTTCCTGGACCTGAGTGGGAAGAAACATCAGTTATGACAGTAGTGCCCTAAAACTGGTTCATACAGACTTGAGCTCATTGTTAACAATTAAATTGTGTACACTTACAATGAATTATATTGTTTAAAAGATAAGGGCTAAGGATGTAGCTCAATGGTAGAATGTGAACTTTGCATGCTTAGGCACTGTTTTCAGTTCCCCAGCTCCGAAGCCAAGCAAAACCAGAGAAAGATAAGTAAAAATGTAGGACTTTTTACTTCCTAATGACTTGACTACTTTTTCTTCCACTTCACTACTTTTTTTTTTTTTTTTTTTTTAATACTGGACCTCACTACATTGCTGAGGCTGGTCTCATACTAGTGATCTTTCTGCCTCAGGTTCCCAACTGGCTGGGATTACAGGCATGCACCACTACCTCCAGTACCAGGACCAGCCTACTCTTGACATTCTTTACATTTGCTGTGCCTGTGTGGTGTAAGGGCTACACAGCTCTGTGGCTGGTGCATTTCTCTTGACAGCTCCACGTTCAGGGAGGGGTATTCATGGTGAGGGTATTTACATAGTCTTGAAGCTGATAGAGATTTTAATTGAAAAAAAATAATTTATATATAGGTGAAGAACAGAATAACAGTAGATTGCATAAAATATGCAATGAAAATTGCCAGGCAAACTGGTAAACACTTGTAATCCCAGCAATTTAGGAGACTGAGGAAGGAGGATTGCAAGTTTGAGGGCAGCCTCAGCAATTTAAAGATACCGTGCCTCAAAATTTTAAAAATAATTTGAAAAGAACTGGGGATTGTAGCTCAGAGGCAAAGCACCCTGTGTTCAAACCCAGTACCCCCCTCCAAAAAAGTAATATAATTAACATTAAAAATGTACGTAATAACCAGGTGTGATGGCACATACCTGTAATCCTGGTGGCCCAGGAGACTGAGGCAGGAGAATCACAAGCAATTTAGTGAGACCCTACAACTTAGCAAGACCCTATCTCAAAATAAAACATAAAAAGCGGGGAGGAGGGTGGCTTAGAAATGTGGCTCAGCAGTTACGCACCCTGGGTTCAAATCCTTGATACCAAGACAAAAAAAAAAAAAAGTATATAATGCAAAATAGGACTAGGATGTGGCTCAGTGGTTGAGTGACCCTGGATCCAATTCCCAGTACCAAAAAAAAAAAAAAAAAGAATACATTTTACCATTTACTATTATTTATGGATTATATGCTCTAGGAAAACTTATAATCAACACATGTACACAGAGGTGCACACTTTTTCCTCTGGGAAGGCCCTTGTTAGACATTAACCAGGCAGCATCAGCTCTTCAAGAAAGATGAAGTTCAGCAGGTAAATTAAAAGCAGCTTTTTTAGGAAGTCATAATGGATACCAAAATTGCCTTTATATGAACATAATCTGCTAAAATCAGTGAGTATTCTTGCTGGTACTAATTTGGTTTAGTGGTGTTAAAATGTTTTGTTGCCATTTAAATTAGAAACTCCTCCAGCTGGAAAGAACCAGAATTTCAACAAAATGATATACAGACATTTCTACTGAGCCTAAAGAATCATGGATATGGCATAGAAACTGAAGAACATTATTTATTTATGGCTATGACTTACAAAAAGTGTTTTTTCAATAAAATTATTGCACCACCTGTAATTCACCTTAGCTTAGTATTTTTGCCTTTAAATTCATTGACAAGGCACATGATTCTCCAAGGCACATGACGGTCAAGTCAAGGGTAATATTTACTTGCTTCATGAATAACTTGACCTGCTCAGGTAGACTGATCACTATCTAATCTGCAGGGAGCCAAAAGTTGAACCCCTTCATCCAAAAAAATGGCTTCTAACCCAACCACCCCAGTGAAGGAAATTACAAGATTGCACCATGGTTTTTTTGTTTTGTTTTTCTTAGGTACGGGGGGATTGAACTCAGGGACACTCAACCACAGAGCCACATCCCCAATCCTATTCTGTATTTTATTTGGAGACAGGGTCTCACTGAGTTGCTTAAAAATGCCTCGCTTTTGCTGAGGCTGGCTTTGAACTTGCGATCCTCTTGCGTCAGCCTCCAGAGCCGCTGGGATTACTGTCGTGTGCCATCATGCCTGGCTTGCACAATGGTTTTTAATCACCTGATACATATTTCAACACAAACTCTGTCTCAAGGTGCACAGATGATCTCTATACCTAGTGTTAAATTAGAAGTATCAGACCCTGGTTTCCTACTGTGTGAAGTTTTATAAATCCATAACCCAGAAATAATACACAGAAATAATCAAGGTCTGTATCTTATCCACAAATATACCAGATCCCTTATTCAATGAAAAATTCCCCCAAATGGACAATGAAGACAGCTATGTGTTCTAACCAAGGAGAAAAAAAAAAAAATCATTTGTGAAGTAGATAGTTGTTCAACTAAGATCTCAAGCCAGGTATGGTGGCACATGCCTGTACTCCCTGTGGTTTGGGAGGCTGAGGCAGGAGGATCGAAAATTCAAAGCCAGCCTCAACAACTTAGTGAGGCCCTAAGCAACTTAGTGAGCTCCTGTCTCAAAACATGGAAAAAAAGGTGGGGCCTGGGGATATGGCTCAGTGGTTAAGCACCCCTGGTTTAAATCCCCAGTACCAAAAAAAAAAAAAAAAATCTCAAAAGGCCAATGAAAAATCCAGTTCTGATGTATGTGTGTATCATGCAAAGAGTGGAGAAAAAGCAATTTGGGTCCATTATATAACTGCCGCTTTTTGTTTTTATTCAAGGTGTCATAAAACTGAGTTCTGCAGTTGAAGGTACGTTTTTAAAACCACAAAATCGATAATGTTTTGCTTCAAGGTTGCACAGCGTGGCCTGTAGCTAGCAAGCTTCCGTGGCAGTGGTGTTTGACGCCATGTTCGAATTGCCAACTGTCGCCATTCCATCTGTGTTTCTCCTCGTTCTGGTCATGTTATGCCACAAGTCTCTTGGCCCTCCACAAGTGGCGTTAACACTGCCCTAAGAGGGTGGTGGCATTTCGAAAGCATATATGTCTATTTGTATTCCCTTGTGTGATAGCCTCTGATCCAGTGCTCCTCAGGGACGCCCTGGCTCTCCAATGGCCTTATTGGAGGCTGAATGTAGAGTTACATCAGGAAGCTTTGCCCTGGCCCTTTCAGCCAGGCCTTCCTTGTCTAGGAAAGCCTTGGCCTTTTATTCCCATGTAACAGACGTATTTTCCAGAAAATATGTGCAAGCGTTGTTAAGGCTTCACAATAAGAAAACTAGATAGTGAGGGCATTTGCTAATCTCAGGATTGGTTTTTCTGGGCAGTTGATCCACAAGACAAGTGTTGTCTAGTTGGTGAGTGGCAGTTCCCTTTACCAATGCACTAGAGAACCTGAGGAGGAAGAGGGATTTCAAGAAAACAGGAAACAGACCACACATCAGGGCATTTTGCTGAATAATTCCCCAAACTGGTAAAAATATCTCATTATCTGCAATAATTAATTGGTTATTGAAATACAATTGATCTCCTTACCTTCCTAGGGACTTTACAATCAGAAAGGCAGAAAATGTGTAATTTCCTCTTTCTGTGAGTTTCTGTGTTTGTTTTGGTATATGCGTGTTGTGTGTGTGTGCGTGTGTGCGTGTGTGTGTGTTTTCTCGTTTATCAGGAGTGTATTGTGCATGCTTTAGGGGTGTCTTCATCCTCGCTTAATCAGGGCAGACTGCTTGGAAGAGGTGGGGGCTTTCGGGTAAGTTTTCCAACTTGAAAGAAGATGTACCTTGATGAATGAGCAGCCCATGGAAATGGGGAGTGGAAAACCTGCAAGGGGGTTGATGTGCTGAAGCCAATGGCTAGACTCAAGCCAAGGGATTCTGAGTGCTGAAGTTTGAAGGTTGAAAGATGAGAGAAGAGCTCAGCAATGTATTCATGGAATCCACAAATCCAAAGTGGAGTACCATCACAGTCTACAAAATCAAGTTGCAAAGGCAATATTTTTACATTCATGGCTGAAAATATGCTGCTGCTCTAGACTAAAAAATACCATAAGGGATGGGGATGTCATTCAGTGGCACAGCCCACACTTAGCATGTGAGAGGCTCTGGGTTCTACCCCTTGCACTATTAAAAAAAAAAAAAAGGAGAAGGAGAAGGAAAAGGAGGTACAGATAGTGGTGTTTCAAGGTAGAAAGAGATGAGGATAGAGAGAGAGCTTGTTTCTGCTAGGCCAAGCAGAAATTCAAGTTCTCTCTGTACATCAAAATGGAATTTTATTGAAAGACTCTCCCATGGTCTGCCTAATGGAAGAGTCGTGGAAATCTAGCAGGAGCAAGAACTGACCTTGCCTGCCCAAACTCCCAGTGGCAACTTCAGCTCCACATTTGTTAATTATCTGTAGAATTACAGATAACAGTTGGTCCACCCTGGGCTGTTTTAATGTTTTATCAAGGAACAGCTTTGAAGTCATAGCTTTACTTTGCCTGCTTGGATTAAGCACAGTATTCCACTTGCAACAAAAGAACATAAAAACAAACCAATTATTATGTTTTTTTAAAAAAAAAACACAAGACTCTGTATAAAAAAAAGCGGGGGGAGCGGGCTGGGGATGTGGCTCAGTGGTTAAGCGCCCCTGGGTTCAATCCCTGGTACCTAAATAAATAAATAAAAAGTCAGAAAGCCAAGAGAACATTAGATTAAGGAAAAATGAGAGCAGATATGACTTCCCAGAGAAATGCCCCACAGCCTCTGGCTGCCTCCCTCTTGACCTTTTCCAAGTCCCTGAGGATTTAAAGAAAGAGTCCCTGGTTAGTAGAGGTCAGGGCAACTTGCTGCTTAAGCATCTTTTTGGCAGCTTATTGGCTGAGGGTGTCAAAGCTTGAAGGCTTGGGAGCATGCTGTGTTATAACTGTGTAGAATATATGTGTGCAGTGGTGGTTTGGGGCACAGTTTTGGGATGGGGTGTGTGTATTCAGTGCATGCATTCTCAGTGCTTCTACTAGAATGTGAGACTCTGGCGAGCATGCTCAGTGGAATGTGTGTCTAGAGCACTATCTCTGGATGAGCAATCAAACCTCAGGCTAACTGCTCAGCTAATTACTGTACTTACTCAATTCCTATATTACTCTATTATATACTCTATGTCTGTGGAAGGCAGCTTCCTGATTCTCTGATCTTGTCAAGGAGCATGCACATCTGTGGAAGGCAGCCATTGCCAAGAATGAAACCTCTTTACTTTAAAAATGACTGTTTTGGATTACTCTAGAACTGTAAAAATAGCATTCAAGTTTTAGGTAGGTTTTTCTTTTCTTAAAAAAAAAAAAAAACACCTCTGAAAATCATAAAAGTCAACAAAGATTCCACTTGGTATTTCCTATGGAGAATTTGTCAAGTAGTTTGGTATCTTCCCTCTCTCTAAAGCAGGGGTGCCTCCTTCCACATCTTTCATCTTCATTGAGCCTAAAGAAAAAGCCACGTTGATCACAGTCATGGTAAGGTTAAAAGCGAGATGTCATTTGAAAGGCTTAAAATTGTTGTACTTCAACAAAAACACAACAGGGTTCAAATATTTTGCAGTGAAGATATTTGAACAGGAAATAAGTTAATCATTAATTAATTATTATTTATTAGTTGTTTTATAATGTTTTATATTTTATATCATGTTTATTATTTTGAAAAAAATAACTGCAAAGTCTTATCATTAATACTGATTAACTCTCACCTCTAATTTTAGATTAGTTCCAAGCCGTTTGGGGGGAAGGGGAGATAGTTGGAGCAATGACATGGAGAGAAAAAAACATCCATGGGAAGAATTCTAGAACAGAATCTTCAAAGTAATCTTCTTAAAAGGGATTTTCTGTCTTAAAACTGGAGCTGAGAGAAGGTGGCAGGGTGGGTGGGGTTGCATATACTTCCACATGTAGAATCAGAGGACCCCCTTATCAGGGTAAGTGGAGAACTCAATTGAGGCCTGAGTCAGAATTGCTTTCACATCCCACAGGCAACCATTTCTTGGAGGGGAGGAAGTCCAGCCCCTGTGAGCTCTTTGTCCAATCAGCAGGGAGCATTTAGACTTCCGGGAAGCGCTGGGCATTCTGGGAAACAGCCTCAGAGCCAGACAAGATGGGAAGCGGCTGAGGGAGGCTGCTGTAAACCGTGGCTACTGATAGTGGGTATGTTGTTATGAGGCTCCCCTCAAAGGCACCCTGCTGATGCCTTGTAGGTGAGACTCCCAGACTCCAAAATGACATCAAATTCTTTTAAAGCCCTAAGAAAAAATGAAGTTTGACTCTACAGGAAAAGCCTCAGTTCTTTAAAAATAGGAACAAGCCAGGCCCGGTGGCACACGCCTGTCATTCCAGCGGCTTGGGAGGTTGTGGCAGGAGGATTGTGAGTTCAAAGCCAGCCTCAGCAACTTAGTGAGGCCCTGAGCAATTTAACAAGACCTGTCTCAAAATAAAACATAAAAGGGGCTAGGAATGTGTCTCCGTGGTTAAGAGCCCTTGGTTTCAATCCCTGATACCAAAAAAAGAAAAAGAGAAAAAAAAAAAAAAAAACTGAAAGATGAGCCTAAGGAAATGGGTTGGATGATAACATGAGCTCTCCAAGCCCGTTTTCTCCTTCACTTCCACCTTGCCTAGAGATGAAGGGGACTTCAGTCAGGCAGTCAAAGAGAAGCTTATGAGAGCTGCCAGAAAACCTATCTATGTGTCCATAATGGACAGTGTTGATTTTATAAACAAAACCTCCCATGGACATGTGGAAGTTCTCTTCCTTTTTCCTACTTGTGATTCCATTCTGTTTAGATAATTTTTTAAAATTTAATTTTATGTTTTTAGTTGTTGATAGAACTTTATTTATTTATATGTGGTGCTGAGAATCGAACCCAGTGCCTCACACATGCTAGGCAAGCGCTCTACCACTGAGCCTCTACCACTAAGCCACCACCCCAGACCCCTGTTTAGATATTTTTAAATGACCTTTTTGGTTCATCAGTAATGGCTCCTGAGTCACAATCCCATCAGAGCAGGGAACTTTGGACAATTGTCATATCCAAAGTCATGTTTCCTGTGGCCTCATGGTCCCTGATACACCAAAAGAAAAGATTCCTCAAGTATAAACAAAATAATTGGTTGTGGTAGTGCATGCCTATAATCCCAGCAACTCCAGAGGCTGAGGCAGGAGATCACAAGTTCAAGGCCAGACTCAGCAACTTAATGAGGCCCTTAGCAACATAGACCCTGTCTCAAATAAAAAGGGCTGGGAATGGGTACCAAAAAACAACAACAAAAAAATCTATTTTCCGTAACATGACATGCAGTATATCCAGAAATCCCCCAGATAAAGTTAACATTTTTCAAACATTATGACAAAAAATACTGATGTTGTTCCTTCCATAGATAAATTTTGCTCTTGTCATCATGTCTTTTTTTTTTTTTTAGCAAAGCCATCTGCTCAGTGTGTCAGGGTAGACTGTGGTAGATCCATATAGCTGATGGGCCTGCTTCTAGTGGTAAATTTAGAATGAAGTTTTGACGTTTTTACTACTGAAAATCAAAACATCTTTGCAGACCTTCAAGCCAGAGAGCTGACCGAGATAGGGTAGGGCTGTCTCCCAGGAAGGAATTCCTCCCTTCCACCCAAGTGAAAGGCAGCAGTGTCAGGAACATAAAAAGGAATATTGTGGAAACTGAAAACAAGACTCAAGAAACTTGTTTCTGCAAAGAAACCCAGACTTCCTGCTTATAAGGGTAACCTAAAAGCTGGAACACTAAACAAATAAATGCTTTCTTCTCGAGTGCATTTTCACAGA